AAATTTTTAAACCCATGAAACCAATGTTTCAAGGCTTATTATACAATTTTATAAAAGTTTTTACATTTGAGCCATTTTCCTACTATTTAAGAAGACAGTGTTGTGATGATTCCACTTTGATAAACAAGAATATAGAGGAATTAAACAACCTTAAAGTCACTCAGCTAAAACTGAGACAAGACACTTAAGTGCTCTAAACCCAATCCTAGTATCCTGTTATTTTAATAACACTGTTTGTAATATCATGTCCTGAATAAGAAATGCAGCAAAACTACATGTTTCTTGTTACTCTGCTTGATACATCTATGGTAACAGGAAATAAAAATACATATCTGAGACTAGAGCTCATCATGAAAGTACTTACTGTAGAGTTGCAGTTCTTCGACAGTTTCCCTTTCTTTGGTCTCAGAATCAGTGTGCAATTTAGCTTTGCAAATGAGAGCTTTTCCAGTATCCTCAATGTCAGGCGTTAAGGTGACTTCCATAGTCTTGGTTACCAAAGACTTCTTCTCCATCGCTTCCAGAAACATCTGGGTCTTCAGGAGATGGTCACCTTTGAATAGATCCACCTCCAGCCTATCAGACGGGTAGACATCAGGAACCAAACACTTGACCATAACAGGCTTCCCGACCTCCAGGGGGCCACTCAGCTGAATCTCTGGATCCTTAGGGAATGCTGCAAAGCCAAGAAAATGCACAAGTAGTCTTTGGCTTCTGTTGACAACATCTCTGACTGCTTTAACACAAGTCAAAGCAAATGTTTTTGTTAATATTGGGCTTAGTTTGGCATAGCCACTCTTTAAATAGCTAGTTATGTTTAACGGTGTACTCAGAAAGCAAGAATCAGAATTAACCACTTTTTAAAGGCCATTTCAGATTTAATCCTGTAACTGTTAGAGTATGTTTAAACAGGAAAGAACAAAGAAAAGCCTAATATCTATTGAAACTCAGCAACAGATGTAACATAAAGGGCTTTGCTCCCTTTTTACTCTAACCCTGGGTAACAGAGGCCACATTTCACAGATAAGGAAACTTGGATATAGTGTGATTGCAGAACCAGCCTCGGTCACACAGCCATGATGAGGCTGGGAGCAAAGCTCATGTGTTCTGTCACTCTGCACCATGATTCCAGTGACATATTACACCCTGTTCTCTTATGTTAATGCAGATACAATTCTAGATGAGAAGCCCAACATTCAGAATGACATTGCAAAGAGGTCCTACTGTGTAAAATTGCCCACAAAAGGAGAAGAATGGCTAGAGGGCTGGCTTCTGAAAATGTGACCTCTGACAAGAATTTATCCACCAGAAAGGCATTCCTTCGAGAGTTCTCCATATTGAATTCATTCCCCCCCATAAACTAACTCAGTGTTCTAACCAGCACTCTAGGGAATTCACCCATGCAATGGAACACAGAGCATGGCCTCTCCCCCTTTCACAAGGACGAGAGTTCTCCATGTTGAATTCATCCCCCCCATAACCTAACTCAGTGTTCTAACCAGCACTCTAGGGAATTCACCCATGCAATGGAACACAGAGCATGGCCTCTCCCCCTTTCACAAGGTTTATCTCATACACATACACACACACAAACACACACACACACACACACACACACACACACACACACACACACACACAATGATGGGAGCTCTTTGGTGTCCCAGCACCCAGAATATTACAATCAAATGTGGAATGGAGACTGAACTGTTAAATACAATGAGAAACAAGCACTCTTGCAGAAAAAAAGAAAAACAAAAAGAAACAGTCTACATAATTAAATCCAGAAGGGTCCTCACTTCTCTTTTTTAACTCTCCAACTGTGGGCAAAGGTGAAGGAACCAGAAATGCTTTATTATCAAAAAACACAGTATTTTAAATTTCCCCTCCAGTTATTTATGTCCACCACGGTCTTCAGGAAACGTGCCTAGCATCCACACATTTCACGACAGGTAACATAAGAACTTGCTATTCTTCCTGATATTTATATAACAGGACCTTCCACAGAGCTCAGGAGGCTGCCTAGACACAAACCGTGCATGCACGGCCAGCATAATTGAAAGCAGCTGCCCAGGCTCAGCTGCTCGGGAAGCCCAGCTTGCTGAAGGGGCTTGCTGAAATTTCAATGAGGGTTAATGGACAAAGGCAGGCTTCAGTTCCTTCAGTAGGAAGGAACTGAGGTGTTTAGAGGATGAATCAACCAAGATGCTCATGAGGAAATGCCTGTGTGAGTCCATTTTGGGGATGGGAAAGAGATACCATCAGCAACCAAAGACAAATGATTTCCATAGGGTTCACTCCCCCTTCCTCTTTGCTAGTTCTATTTGCTGATTTGAGGATAGGGGTGGGATATGTTTTGGGTTGGTTGGTATAATATGGGAACCTGTTCATATTTCTGAAACAAATTTAATTTGTTAGATGAAAATCCTATGGGATGGAAAACCAAGGATTTATGGCAGCAACAACAACAAAAATTCTTGAATTTATCAGTATCAGATAAATGAGATGTTGATAGATTTTGGGGTTATCTCTAAAGAGAGGGTTTGTGTACTTATAGGTCCGATTCTGCAATCAGATCTTAAGCACCAAGTTGCATAATAATAAGTAAATGGAAAATCCCAGAAAGTGAGAAATTATTAAATTTCAAATGCATGAACAAGTGAACATATAGAAATACAACCCGATGGGAGATTAGAGAAAAAATGGAAAGAACTTTTAGCTAATCATTTGGGCTAGGGATTGAACCCAAGATGGTGTGAGTCTTTTGCAAGGGCACTAATTTTTGCAGCAAACAAAGACACAGAGGTTAATATTTGTGTTCCTGTTCTCAGCTAGCTTCTTCTGCCTCTGCCTTTATTGAAACCATGCAACCAAGAGTCTAGATACTCTTAAAAAGTCTCTGCTACACACATTTTAAGCAACATCAAGATAAAACTTACAGTAGACATCCACCTGGATTCCTCTTTCCAGTTTCTTAGATCCACAAGTTGCTGTGCACAGGTAAGAGTGTTCATTCTCAAAACTGACAGCATCCATGATCAGGACAGACTTGGACCCCTCAGTCCTCACCCTGCCATGGAGTGGACTGTCCATCTGGGTTCTCCAAGAGAAAGATGGAGTCTCACAGCCTGTGGTGCTGCAAGTCAGGGACAAAATGTCCCCAATTTGAGCCATCGTTTTGTCTTGAGGGGAGATATCGAGTTTAAAAGCTTGAGCTGAAACAGCAAGGGAGAGAAAAACAACTTTAGCATGGTCTGTCTCACGCTGTGTCCTTTCTCTCTTGAATAGCAGTATAGTCAGTGTTCAAAAACACAGCCTGGGTGATCTACTTTTTAAACTGTCTCAGATTAATAGCAAGACAGCCCCGAAGCCCAGAAGTTGCTGTTGAGGAAGATGCTGGAATCTTCACCATGAAGAAGAATGCTCAGTTCTCACTTTGAAGCCCATTGCACAAAGTGATTTTGTTCTTTTCTAAGTTTGACTTCATTGTTAAGTACAGGAAACTAAAGAGATAGACCCACTACTGACAAAATCCAAATTACTCATTTAACATTAGAAAAGGGTATCAAGAAAACATCCATCTGCAGCTCTGACAATAATGGCTTTTATAGCAAAACTTTATAGTACACCGAAGTTGTGGACCTGTGAAAGAGGTCAGGGACTTACAGGCTGCAAACAGTATCCAAAGCACCGTTGAGGCTCCCAAGATCGTGACCATCTTCTCAGGCATTTCAAGTCGCTGCTGTGGTGACGAAGTAGAAGCTCCAAAGCCTTCTTTGTGCCCCACGTGAAAGTGTCTGGGAAAAGTGTTCAGCTCCCAAGGCCAGCCAGGCTGGTGTGAGTGAAATAGAAAGTCTGCTCTTTATAAAGGGTCTTGCTGGAGAGGCGGAGGGAAATCCCTTCAAGGGGAAACCCAGGGCAGAGCCAAAGAAAAAGTTTAACTGACAGCCAGCCAAGTCCCCACATTAACCCCTTCAGCTGCTCTCAAGGCTGAAGTCCTGGAAAACAAGACACTTCCAAGTCCATAAATCTCAGGCTTTTCCTGACTTTCAACTCTGAAAGGGCTATCTTTCCTGAGAAGATATGAGACAAAGATCATGCAAAATGAAACTGCCCTCAACGTGTGTGTGTGTGTGTGTGTGTGTGTGTGTGTGTGTGTGTGTGTGTGTGTGTGTGAGAGAAAAATTTTGCAGAGAAAGGGAGAGAGGGAGGAAGGGAGGGAGGGGGAAGGGAGGGAGGGACAGAGACAGAGATCACTGGGTAAATATCCACTGGTTTTACTTCATTAAGGAAAGTATTTGTAATATAAAAGAATAGAACCATTCTCTTTTGACAAAAAGGAAAATATCCTTTATTTGGATGAGTCACTCTTTTAGAATGGAAGAAAGTGTAACTCCTTAATTTTAAGGTTTTCTATTCATAAATGTATTTTTGACACAAAAATTCAACTCTGAAATAATTTTCTGAACTAGAAAATGAAGGGATGTTGATGCAGAACTAAAGGAATTAATTTTTCTTTTGTTTGAGGACTTAACAACCCTTTGGCCCATTGCTTGATGACTGGAAGTCTTTTGCAGACTTGAATCAACATCATGGGATCTGTCTCATAAATTTTTGTGGTGAATTTCTTTGGCTACACTATTTAGCCACATGTCCAGTTTGAACATGTAAACAAATCTGCATATGTTGTAGGACATAAAATGATAACCAATTTTTTTATTTTCTCCTCCCAGTGAAATGCCTTTCTAGAAGACTCAATTAACTGCCTCTGCCTTACACACACATAGCCCGTGTCCTTACAAAATGCTTGCCCATCAAAAAGAAACCGGAATAGCCACTTCCTTGTATTATACACGTGCAGGTCTACCTCCCACATTGCAATATCAGTTCCCTTCCTGGCCAGGACTAGTTCTTATTCATAGTTGTTTCCACTCCTTAAATATATAAGGCATGGTTTTGCATATAATGACTACAAAAAATTTGAAGAGTAAGTTAAAAATCTAGAAAAGAAACTTTCAGTATACTGACCATAGTACCAAAGTGCCACATTGAAAAAATAATAATTCTGCAAAATAATGCAAAGTTCCAAGACATTTAGGCACATGTAACATAAACAGTGCCATGTCATATGACAAAGGTCATAAATTGGGATCTGCCTGGCAAGAGAGACTTTGGGACTTCCTCTTGCAAATATATGGGGTTCCCACTCAGAGGCAAGTAGAAAAAGGTACTTGAGGAATCTATTCTAGGGCTATGATGACATCTCCAGGAATCAATGAAATTAGATGCTGAACAAGTAATCTAGGGAACTTGAGCAATGTCCATATCATGAAAGAGGACTATTGGACACAAACCCACAAACCATTGCTACTCAACTTTGGGGTAGATCAAAGGCAAGTAAGAAATTTTAAATCCATTTCTTTGACACTCAAAAATAAGTAAGTACTGGCATCACTCACACCCATGCTTTTTGGAATCAGTTCTCACCCAAGTGAGTGGAACAGTAATTCCTTTTGGGAGAGGGGAATAGTAAAAACAATGTCCATATCATGAAAGAGGACTATTGGACACAAACCATTGCTACTCAACTTTGGGGTAGATCAAAGGCAAGTAAGAAATTTTAAATCCATTTCTTTGACACTCAAAAATAAGTAAGTACTGGCATCACTCACACCCATGCTTTTTGGAATCAGTTCTCACCCAAGTGAGTGGAACAGTAATTCCTTTTGGGAGAGGGGAATAGTAAATACAACAGAGGAAGTGAAGAAAACAATTTGGTGGATTCCACAATGTCAAATCCTTCCTCATTTGAGAATCACTACTCTAACAAAACTGAAGAGCCTCTCTGAAGCTCTATGTAACTCTTTTATTATTATTTGTGCCATTAGTGCTTTGTATATGCCACCTGTTTGCATACAGTAATTCAAGTGAGCAGAGATGTTCCTGTGACGTTTTACAAACTCCTCTTGCCTTGAAATTATCATACTCTCCCTAACAGTAACAGTAACAAAATCTGTCTCAACAGATTTTGCCACTCAGCACTTATTAGTCATTCATGCTCATTTTCATATTTCACCTGCCCTGATGTTGCATCTGTTTCGAATGTCTATGAAGTCATATAAAATAAGTGAGACATTCCTTCTGTGGCAATAATTTCAGACTTTCCTTTCAGTTTCTAGTAACACTTCATGCTTTTGTAATTCTTCACCTAACCAGTCAACTAAAGTGCATTGTGATCATTGCCTTTGAGCTGGGAGAGAAGTAGGTGCCTGTTTCTGTCTTTAAATTCACATGCCAGGACACACAGAAGTTTGATTGTTTGAGCAAGATCAGACATTGTGTGACTCTGACAATGAGCACCAGGAACTGAGTTTGAAACCAGTTTTCCTTACCTAGGGATCTCTACATATACACTCTATCCACCAAGCTTCCTGTCTGCAAGAGAGTTCCACCTTCCATTCAAGCACTAATGCCATCTGAGATTGAATTCTAATGGGACAGTTTGACTATGGCCTTATGACCCGAGACTGTACCTACTTCTCAGTGATGACTAATGGTTTCATAGTACCACCTTTTAATACCATAAGGACTTACACCAAGCACTCCAAATCTTCTGCAGTTACCCACAAACAAAAGGTGTGAGCAGACAGTATGGGAATACCCTAGCAACTTGACTGTGAATCCAGATGTAGAGTTCCATTTGGTCTTCATTGGAGTTTAGAAGGAAAATTCATGAAGTCCCTGAGCTTGTAAACCCCTGCTGTGATCCAGGAGGTGTCTCCTGTGGACCCAAAGGGGAGTTCTTTTGATGAAAGCCCCATTCATCCCCTTCAGTCATGTGGTCTCACCCCAATAAACTCCAGTTCTCACAGAGAGGATTTGAGAAAACATTCAGGTCTTCACCCATTCTAAATGATTGTAAAACATGTGTTTACATTAGTGAGGGGAGGCTTGGAGAAGGCATGCCATGAGCTTGCAGTAAACACGGATGAGTAAACACATAAAAATTAACAACCCAAGTAGAAGGAAGGAATGGTTGTAAACCACGGTTGTTGTATCCACTTATAAATGACTAATGTAAGTGGGGAAGGGGGATCAGAGTTCAACACACAAAAGAAGTAAGACATTATATTTTTCTGCCATGTGATTATATCACAAGTATATTTTCTCAAGGTATAACACCTTTGGAAATCTTCCCTTAAAATATAATGATTTTATATGATAGATTAAGGTTCTAATCTTTCATAAACAGCACTCAAATTTTCTTTTTTGGAAACTACAGCCTTTGAACAGCTGCAGCTCAGCATCAAATGCTAAAACCATTTTAACAATTTTAAGGTACATGAAGAAAAAAGAAGTAGTCAAAAAAAAGGAAGCAAGATTTTTTTTATTCCTCTTCTGCAGATGAAAGATTAATATGAGGTTGAAATTTTCTCATCTACAAAGCAAAAAGGGGGCACATCCAGTAGTTTCCAAGTCATTCTCTTTCATCGTGATGACTTCTAGATCAAATAATGAGCAGCCAAAGAACTGAGGTCCAATTGCTCAAAGGTCTCTATCTCAGGACTTATAGCTGTAGACAAAGTAACAGAGGTCTTCTTGAAAGTTGTGTGTTCTTTGTAGAAAATCCATTTATGAAAATCCTAGTCATCACTGCTTGGTGGTAGCATATCCTCCTTGCCTGCTCAAAGTCCTGGTTCAATCCCCAAGTCCCCAGCACTGAAAAAGAAAAAAGCAGGCATCAATTCACATCTTTAAGTCATTAGTAAGTCATTAGTTACTTTTTGTGCTTTAGGAAGGGTTTCAACCATTGGCAGCAGGCTTTTTACTCTTGGCTTTACTCTGCATATATCAATGATTTATTTGAACTCTTGAACATGTATGTCTACTCCCCCTCTATGCTAAGGTTGGTGACAAAAATGAGAATTTACTAACTCTTCTGTAATATCTACTGGAATAGGAGCTCAAGACTACAGTGGTGACAGATAACCCCCTCTGTTGGAGTTTGTATTCTAGCGGATTGAAATGAAGAAAGGCAAAGAGAAAATAGGTTCAGCAATGGGACATCAGGGAGACAGGGAGGCAGAGAAAACACCAATAGAAACAATCACGGCATCAGAGGGTAGAGAGTCAGTATTTTCTTCCACGAAGTGTTCATTTAGTCTGTTTTTAAAGGTGGAATTGTAAACTGGCTATGGTTTTCACCTATAATACTAGCACTCAGGAAACAGGAGCAAGCTCAAGGTCAGCCTGGGCTCCATAGCATGGCTCCATCTCAAAATAGTCATGAGGGGGATGGGTGGCTGGTATGGCATAAGTATGTTAAGTGGCCATGCATCTGAAGGACTAGTTGACTCCACTCCAGCAGGCTTAGCTGAGCTGTACAGGTTTAGCATGGGGACAAGTTGGAGCAACAGTTTGAGGGTTTGCAAAATGATAACAGTAGGGGAGTGGAAGGTGAAGGTGACTAAGTCTGAAACATGCAGCAGGCAACTATAAAGAATAGCTTAACAACCTGGACCCCACCCAACTTGGCTATACACATACCCATATCTAAACAATGCACCTAGCAACCTGTTAGCAGCCTGGGACCCCACCTGTGTGTAGAGCTGCATGCAATGATGGAAATGACTTACTTCTTTTTAGCAACTTCTTAGTGATTGCCAGTTTTTATTCAAACACATCCTGGAATAGGATCCCAAACTACAGGGCAATAGGCATATCTGGCTAGACTGGGGTGTGTGTGCAATAAGACAAGCTCTCTTTTCAAAGTCAACTTTTAAAAGAATTCCTTACTTAGCATCTTATGCCTAGGCATTACTGGGCATGATTAAAATCAGATGCATTATGGGAATAGACACGCGAATAGACACGCGATGTGCAAGAGGTTCTAAAATACTAGCCTGTCAGCCAAAATAGAGACCCCCTAAATTAGGGCCCCAGCAACCAAATTCCTCTTTCTCTTGTACCCATTAAAAGGAAGTACCAAAAGATGGTCAAGGCCCCCAAGCACTTTAACTCATGGGCCCTGCTGTCAATATTGATAGGGTATTCTTTTCTAGTCTGAGCTATTCCTTCACTTTAATTAAAGTTGTTTCCTGACAATTTGCAATCTTTCTTCACCTTTGTTTCCATCCTCTGAATGGGA